TATGAAATGGATATTTAACAGTATTCATTATATTATATTGAAATAATAAATACAGATGAATAAAAATAATTGTTAGGCTTAATCAGCTGCTCCTTTTCCTATATTAATTCATCCATAATATGACAATGCTGAATAGCAAGCTAATTGATAAAAATTGCTATAATAATGCCAAAATTTTAATCCTTATCAAATTTGCTCTTAACTTTCGCCCTAACAGCCAGTACAAGCGACCATGTGAATCTTGACTGGAGGAAGGACGATTATATCCTGAGCTTTATAAGATTATTAATCTAATTAAGAGGGGAAATGAGTTGGTACACACTTTGGCAGCATTATTAATCAGCAATTAACCCTGTCAATGGAGGCAATTCAGTCCTACGATAGCATGCCTAGACCAAGAGTTAAGGTTCTAAGAAGTCGAAAAAAAAATTTGCCCAGATTTAGTCAAATTTTTCTTCTTATAAATAATACTATGGGTTTTATTAATGCGAAACTATGCATTGCAATATGAAAATAAATTTATAAATTACACTAAGCTGGCACACTAAGTTATTTGAGATCAAAGATTTGGATTGAGACACTAAATTAATATGAAGAAGCCGGTGATCCAAAGCCTCTACTTGTCAACATCCTATCGTGAATCTACGTTTCATTGTGGTTAACTATTAATTGATTTTTAATAATAAGAAAACAATAACTCCTACCAAATTTAAGGTTAATAAATGATTGAAAGGAAGGAATAAGGTAGAAGGAAAAAAATAAATATATTTGCAAATAAAAACTGGGCTTCAAGGAATTTTGTGTTTCATACATGTTGAATTTACGCCCATTTAGTGAAGAGCTTTGAAGATCTATCACAGCAGAAGCGACATCGGATTTTTTTTACAATTTGTCGATTAGCTTTATTGAGATGTTCTAGTTGAACCAGTTTCTGAGGGATTATTTTTCAATTCCGTCTGGCATAATCAGATGGAATCATCTTTACAACAATTGTTATGCTATCAAGTCAATTTTTCTTAATTTTTCAAATCTATCACCAAACAATTTTACTCAAAACGGAAATAAACTCAACAATTATGCACAATTTAGTCGAGATTTACAAATAATTATAATGATTTTTTCTAGGTTTTTCGTTGTATATATAACCAGATTTTACTAGGGGATATTGCTATGTAGCTTCCTGTGCTCTTTGTTATTGAAGTGATCCCGGTGATTTAACTTTTATTGCAAATCAGGGTACCGAAATCTTCTTATTGCCAAATTGTCTGGTCAGAAGTCGACATTATTTCTTTTTGGTGGAGGATTACATTTTTTCTCGGCTCAATCTACATCAGAAAGATATAAAAGTTTCTCATGCGATTTGCAAATAGATGTGCGTTTTGTGCAAAATTGACAAGTATGAAGCAAATTTTTCGGTTCACTTGCCAGATTTATCCAAATAAACTGAAAAAGAAGATTTTTTTAGGTCTGACTAAAACAAGACTAAATAGTGATTCGCCTCAAAATCTTCAGGAATGTTCTTTTTACATTTTACAAGCAATTCAATGCGAGTAACTAAATGTTTTAAACTTTTTTTTAGCAGAGTAAAGATTGAAGATTGTTTACGCTATTGAGTAGTACATTTGGGTTAGCTTGTCGGTGGCTAAACGATCATTTTGCAAGCAGAAGAGATTACTTACAAGTTGGTGGAGTCTGAAGTTGTCAAAGAAATGAGATGAACATTATTTTTGAGAATAAAAAACATGATAATCTTCAGTGCCATTAACGCTTTCAGATAAGAAATTATGAATACCGATGTTTGCTTGGATAAATTTAATCCATATTAGTTAGAAAATTGTGTAAATTTGCATGATTTCTTTGAAAGAACAGCTTCATCACAGAAATGACTTTAATTAATTTAATTGTGATACATACTACTAACAATTTCTTTAAAAATTCCTAGTTTATTAAACGTGCTTCCTTTTAAGAATATAAATAACACATTTCTTAAAGTCTTTCCCATAAGGGAAAATTGTGTCCGTTTGACATTATTTCTTTCAATCAATTCGCAACCAAACTAACAGCTCATTTAATGCCATGAATTGTATGGTTATATTGTATTGAAAGCGATAATTTCGATTTACTGCTAGTTTTAAACAGTTTTTCGATAAATAGAGCTTTTAGTTATTAATTTTGACTAAACAATCCTTCATTATTCACACATTTAGCACGATTGCTAAAATATTATTTTTGGTTGCATGAATATGAATAGCAATGAAATTTCGACTTTTTATTTCAGACTTATTGTTTGAAGCTCAAGCATTAATCCTGAGCAATTAGTAGAAACTATCTTTTTCCTGATGGGTTAAATTAGACACATACACGTTTCTGAGAATCGGTATTATCCGGATTATACACTTTATTTTAGGCCTGGACGATACAGTTACATTTATCTAATAAACCATCTTGAATCTAAACAACAAAATATAACTGTATAGGCAAATTTCTCCTTCTGTTTCGTCTCATCTCAACGCAAAAGAATTTTACATTTTCCAGAAACTCTGACATTCCTACAATCAAAAGTAATCTTTCTATCACTTGTATGACACTATGTGTGGCAGAAAAAGGTCTATTTTTTAATTCCGGATAGTCCAATACAGAAGTCTGAGAAATCTGTTTTGTTAATCCGTTATGTGAATCCCTAAGACTACGTCAGAAATGCATACTGTCAGTCAGATAGAAATAGAAAATGACTATTTGTGAGTGCTTGGAGTAGAGTAACAACTCAATATATGCATAAATAATTCCGAGCCAACTTTATATTAAATCACTTTTTATTATTTCCCCTGCATGCATACTGACAATTTATTCCCAAAACCTTTAATTACCTACACTAAATAGTCATTCAAGCAAACTGTGTTACAAGTGATGTAGAAACTTGTTAATAAGAATGAATAAAATATATTATTTTCACTTTGCCTTCATTACATTGCCCAGAATTCTGATAAATTTTTATGAAGATGGTATTATGGTTGTATGGAAGATACGAGATTCGTTGATGGTAATAAGAAAGAGATAGTTATTTTCATTCCACGTATAATCTTGACACGTTACCACTGTCCTCGGTAAAAGGGGAAATTCTCTTTGCTGATGGCGATAATATGTTGTTGATCACAATTCCAAATTCCTCAAAATCCTCAGGCTTTATATGCATAAGTATGTATGTTAACAATTAATCGACTAAATCATAATCAAGTACAGCGTAACTATGTATACGAGGTATTAAAAAGTAAATAAATCTTCACAAATAGATTTGAGCGGCCAAAAGATGGTAAGATTTTTCCTTCTCTATACCGGTTTATGTGTCCATTTTAATCTTAGTAAAAAGGTTATATGGATAATTAAAATGATAAATTAATTATATATAATTGGCCATATAAAGCATGAATTTATACTACTTATACTTTTACAGATGATATTCCCTCTGGAACTATTAAATTGGTCTCTATCTTTGAGGATACCATCACATTCAAATGGCGAATTGACCATCTTTCAATGCATCACGAAGAGTCTAGCTCGAATGCTTCTATCATCGGAGTCGTATTCAGGTTGCGTAAAATTGGTAGCCCAAGTTTGAAGAATTCTAATTTCATTATAAAAGATTATGCCAATGAAGCAGTACGCATCTCAAAAGAGTCAAGATATGATACAAATCTGTTTAAAGGACACATTCTGCCAGGAAGAAGCGGAGGTCCATGGTTTGCACTGGCAGGATCATTCAATGAGAGCGAGTTTGTCTATTCTGGTGACAAAGTCTTTATACTTAAGGTAACCGGAAAACTCAGCCGACAAGAGAACAGTGAAAATAATTCGCAACATCCAGTAGATAATGTACATGAAGATGATTACTTTTGTGATAACAAGAAGACAAAAGGACCTAGTGAAACGGAAAAGCTGTGGATTGGTCAATGGCATAAAGCCAAATTCAAAGGACTTGAATACGGTGTTATAGTTACAGTAACTATGCATTTTCAGTACGCCAATTCATTAATTGGACCATGTTTCGCCAGAAGCAACGACATTTTTATACCGAAAATATTTCAAGGTGAATTAATATTATTTTGTTCTTTGTATAAACATCATTAATTGTTATATTAAAGTTATATGAACCGTCCCGACATTTAAGATCCTAAAACATTTTAGGATGTTTTTATATCTAATTTATCAAAATACAAAATAGATTTAGGGTTAAATTGTAGGAATTCGTGGTATAATGATTGTAATAGTGTGCCCTGGTATGTAGAAGCTGTATTTAAGGTTTAGAGTACGAACACTAATCTTCCAAATGTTCAGAATTATAATTCATTTAAAGTCCAGAACTCCGAAAATTAAGCTCAAATACTGGTGAAATTAATTTTGTCGTATTATATTTCATCCAAAAGAAATACCATAAGTAACGTGGCTCAAAATGAGGCTATATAAAGAAAATAATCATTATAGTCATGTATGACGGTAAGAATATTGGGAATATTTGCGATTTCTAATTTAACCCAAATAAAATTTTACTAATCTTTGGTTGCGTCTGATAACTTTGAGTGGACAGTGGTATTATCCACTAATTAATAAAATGAGGTGTTTCAAAGAGTTGCCTTACAAAAAGATTATTAATATGGAATGAACTATTGCTTATATCTAATCTAGATCTTGAAAACAGCATCGTTCCAAACTGGGATACCTGCCCTAAGAAGAAACATATTATAACAGGTTCCTAAAGCCACTGTTCTTAATGCAGAGCAGTTTTTATACGTAGAGAGGATAATAAGCTTGTCCGATTATATGATAATTTATGTATTATAGAATGACTAAATAACAAAACTTGAATGAATTTCTAATGCTAACTATTTTTAATATTATAATTGTTCTACTACAAACATTTGTAAGTAGTTAAAATAAATAGTTTAAATTGTGTAGAGTTTGTCTCTTGTCATAATAGAAATTAATTTTGCGTTAATTAACTGCATATCATTTGAATGTCAAGCATTTTTAAAAATAAAAATGTTTGACATGTCATTAATTGCATTGCTTCTGATGAACGGTCCTAAACTAATAGATTCTAAAATGAAAAGAAGCTGGGTTTCGAATAATCCCTTGATTTGTAGATTTGTACTTTTGTCTACTGAATTGTGTAAACATGACATCGGCTCACCGTCTTACAATCGCGATAACTTCGTACTGAACTTTGGTCCGGCATTTGACGGACATCCTAAGAGCCAGAAACCATTATTCACGAACAAACACCAAAATCACTTTTCTTGGTTGAGTGTTTTTGGCGATTGTTTGTGAATAATGGTTTCTGGCTCCGACAATGTCCATTACATGACGGACGAAAACTATGATTGGAGCCAATGAAATTTTAGAACAGTGAGCCGTGCTCTTCTTCGTACAAGTAAACAGACTAAAGTCCAAGACAATCCTTATTTTGTATCCGGGGGGCTATTATACGAAGCCCATCTACCTGCTTTCTCAAATGAGATGAAAGATATGCCAATAATAACACATTGTAAATTGTCAATAATCATGTGAAATTGACTAATCGTTGACCATTAGAGAAGACACTGACATATCTTTTGTAATTATTTTCCCGTTTTTAATGTCTTTGCGACGTCCTTTAGTCAAATTTATAAAGCGTCTTAAGGTTTTTGAATGGTTTAAAAGTGATAAATATTGCAAATTTATTAAAGCCTCATTATCTTTAATGCCTACTAGAGTAGA